TCTGATGTCTCTAACTCTTTACTATTTTATCGAGACTGGACATTGCTCTCCTCCCAAGAAGTAAGCGTCTTCTGATTTCCTGGCCACAGTCTGCATCTGCAGTAATCTTTGCACTAGAAATACAAAGTCTGTCACGGCCTCCACATTTTCTCCCTCTATTTTCCAGTTGTCAATCATTCTTGTTGCCATAATCTTGGTTTTTTTGATGTTTAGCTGCAACCCAGCTTTTGCGCTTTCTTCTTTCACCTTGATTAGAAGGCTCCTCAGCTCCTCCTCGCTTTCGGCCATCAGAGTGGTGTCATCTGCATATCTGAGGTTGTTAATGTTTCTTCCAGCAATTTTCACCCCAGCCTTGCATTCATCAAGCCCCGCACATCGCATGATGTGTTCTGCATACAAGTTAAAAAGGTTGGGTGAGAGTATGCATCCTTGCCGTACGCCTTTCCCAATCTTGAACCAGTCTGTTGTTCCGTGGTCAGTTCTTACTGTTGCTACTTGGTCCTTGTACAGATTCCTCAGGAGAGAGACAAGGTGGCTTGGGATGCCCATCCCACCAAGAACTTGCCACAATTTATTATGATCCACACAGTCAAAGGCTTTAGAATAGTCAATGAAGCAGAAGTAGATGTTTTTCTGAAACTCCCTGCCTTTCTCCATTATCCAGCGGATATTGGCAATTTGGTCTCTCGTTCCTCTACCTTTTCTAAACCCAGCTTGAACATCTGGCAACTCTCGCTCCATCTATTGCTGGAGTCTTCCTTGCAGGATCTTGAGCATTACCTTACTGGCATGAGAAATAAGGGCCACTGTACGGAAGTTTGAGCAGTCTTTCGCATTTCCCTTTTTTGGTATGGGGATATAAGTTGATTTTTTCCAGTCTGATGGCCATTCTTGTGTTTTCCATATTTGCTGGCATATGGCATGCATCACCTTGACAGCATCATCTTTTAAGATTTTAAACAGTTCAGCGGGGATCCCGTCATCTCCTGCTGCCTTGTTGTTAGCAATGCTTCTTAAGGCCCATTCAACCTCACTCCTCAGGATGTCTGGTTCTAATTCATTCACCACACCGTCAAAACTATCCTCGATATTGTTATCCTTCCTATACAGATCTTCTGTATAGTCTCGCCACCTTCTCTTGATCTCTTCAGTTTCTGTTAGGTCCCTGCCATCTTTGTTTCTTATCATACCAATTTTTGCCTGAAATTTACCTCCAATGTTCCTAATTTTCTGGAAGAGGTCTCGTGTCCTTCCTATTCTGTTGTCTTCTTCCACTTCCATGCATTGCTTGTTTAAAAACAGTTCCTTGTCTCTTCTGGCTAACCTCTGGAATTGCGCATTTAACTGGGCATATCTCCCCTTATCCCTGTTTCCTTTTGCTTTCCTTCTTTCTTGGGCTACTTCCAGTGTCTCAGCAGACAACCATTTTGCCTTCTTGGTTTTCTTTTTCTTTGGGACGTACTTTGTTGCCGCCTCCTGAACAATGTCGCGGACTTCTGTCCATAGTTCTTCTGGGACTCTGTTTACTAAATCTAGTCCTTCAAATCTGTTCTTCATTTCCACTGTATATTCGCTAGGAATGTTAGTGAGATCATATCTAACTGGTCTGCGTATTTTCCCTGATCTCTTTAGTTTTATTCTAAATTGAGCAATAAGAAGTTCATGATCTGAGCTACAGTCAGCCCCAGGTCTTGTTTTCACCGACTGGATAGATGTCCGCCACCTTTGGCTGCAAAGGATGTAGTCAATCTGATTTCGGTGCTGACCATCTGGTGAAGTCCATGTGTAAAGCCGTCTTTTAGGTTGTTGGAAGAGAGTGTTGGTTATACACAGCGAGTTTTCCTGGCAAAATTCTATCAGCCTGCGTCCCGCTTCATTTTGTTCTCCCAGACCATGCTTGCCTGTGATCCCAGTTGTCATTTGACTTCCCACCTTGGCATTCCAGTCTCCTGTAATTAAAATAATGTCTCTTTTTGGTGTATTATCCAGTAGGTCCTGCAGATCCTCATAGAACTGATCTACTTCTGCTTCTTCAGCAGCTGTGGTTGGGGCGTATATTTGGATCACTGTAATGTTGAAAGGCTTTCCTTGCACTCGAATTGAGATCATTCTGTCATTTTTGGGTTGTATCCAAGCACCGCTTTAGCGAATTTCTTATTAATTATGAAGGCTACTCCATTTCTTCGATGTTCCTCTTGTCCGCAGTAGTAGATCTGGTGGTCATCTGATGTGAAGTGGCCCATTCCAGTCCATTGCAGTTCGCTGACCCCCAGAATGTCTATCTTTAGTCTTGACATCTCACCAATAACAACATCCAATTTGCCCTGGCTCATAGATCTTACATTCCAGGTTCCTATGGTGTGTTGATCTTTAGAGCATCGGATTCGTCGTTCACCTCCAGTACCGTCGGCCGCTAGCCTTCCTTTTGGCTTTGAGCTAGCTGCGTCATCACATCTGGGGCTAGTTGAACTTATCCTCTGCTCCTCCCCAGTAGCATTTTGGCCATCTTCCGACCTGGGAGTCCCATCTTCCAATGGCATACCGACATATCTCTGGTTGTACTGGTCCATTTAGTTTTCTTGGCAAGAATACTGGGGTGGTTTGCCGTTGCCTTCCCCAGGGATCACGCTTGGTCTGACCTCTCTGCCACGACCGTCCCGTCTTGGGTGGCCCTTCACGGTTTCGCTCATGACATCATTGAGGTGCTCAAGCTCCAGCGCCACAACAAGGCGGTGACCCTTTGCTGGAGTTACTATTATTACTGTGATTAAACCATTATTCTAACCTTCTTCAATGTAAATGCTTATGTATCCTTTCAATAATAATAACTAGAGCAAAATAATAAATGTAATAAAATAATGGAAATGCAAGAATAACAGTAATAATAGAGTAAAATAATAGATGTAAAAATAACAATAATAAAATAAAATAATAAATGTAGTAATAGCAATAATAATAAAGAGTAAAATACTAAATGTTACAATAAAGAGTAAAATAAGGTAAATGTAATAATAATAATAATAATAGAGTAAAATTATGTAAATGTAATAATATTAGAGTAAAATAATAAATGTAATAATATAATAATAATACATAGAGTAAAATAATGTACATGTTACTATTATTACATGTACATTATTTTACTCTATGTATTATTATTATATTATTACATTTATTATTTTACTCTAATATTATTACATTTACATAATTTTACTCTATTATTATTATTATTATTACATTTACCTTATTTTACTCTTTATTGTAACATTTAGTATTTTACTCTTTATTATTATTGCTATTACTACATTTATTATTTTATTTTATTATTGTTATTTTTACATCTATTATTTTACTCTATTATTACTGTTATTCTTGCATTTCCATTATTTTATTACATTTATTATTTTGCTCTAGTTATTATTATTGAAAGGATACATAAGCATTTACATTGAAGAAGGTTAGAATAATGGTTTAATCACAGTTGGACAGCCTTATCTTACATTATAATGACTTAGATGAAGGGTTAGAAGGCAGGATCATCAAGTTTGCAGACGACACCAAATTGGGAGATAGCCAATACTCCAGAGAACAGCAGCAGGATTCAAAACGATCTTGACAGATTAGAGAGATGATTGGCCAAAACTACCAAAATGAAGTTCAACGGGGACAAATGCAAGATACTCCACTTTGGCAGGAAAAACTAAATGCAAAGATACAGAATGGGGGACGCCTGGCTCGAGATAACACTACGTGTGAAAAAGATTTTGGAGTCCTTGTGGACAACAAGTTAAACATGAGCCAACAATGTGATGTGGTGGCAAAAAAAGCCAATGGGATTTTGGCCTGCATCAATAAGAACATAGTGTCTAGATCTAGGGAAGTAATGCTCCCCCTCTATTCCGCCTTGGTTAGATCACACCTGGAATATTGTGTCCAATTCTGGGCACGACAATTCAAGAGAGATATTGACAAGCTGGAATGTGTCCAGAGGAGGGCGACTAAAATGATCAAGGGACTGGAGAACAAGCCCTATGAGGAGCGGCTTAAGGAGCTGGGCATGTTTAGCCTGAAGAAGAGAAGGCTGAGAGGGGATATGATAGCCATGTATAAATATGTGAGAGGAAGCCACAGGGAGGAGGGAGCAAGCTTGTTTTCTGCTTCCCTGGAGACTAGGACGTGGAACAATGGCTTCAAACTACAAGAAAGGAGATTCCATCTGAACATGAGGAATAACTTCCTGACTGTGAGAGCCATTCAGCAGTGGAACTCTCTGCCCCGGAGTATGGTGGAGGCTCCTTCTTTGGAAGCTTTTAAACAGAGGCTGGATGGCCATCTGTCAGGGAGGTTTTAAATGCAATATTCCTGCTTCTTGGCAGGGGGTTGGACTGGATGGCCCATGAGGTCTCTTCCAACTCTTTGATTCTATGATTCTATGATTCTATAGTTTTATGTATGTATTCAAAATCATTTAACCTACGGATGCCTCAATTAATATCATTTTATTGCTATCTATTTTTATTTTGAAATTGACCAGTCACTGCTGTATTTCCCACCCTCAGCTTATATTTGAGTCAATACATTTTCCCAGTTTTTTTGTGTAAAATTGGGTGCCTCGGCTTATATTCGGGTCGGCTTATACTCGAGTATATACGGTATCTCACACCAGAAGCAACTTGCAGTTTCTCAAGCCACTCCTGAGACACAAAAAAAAAGTTCAGATGGAAGGTCTAGAGCTAATGACATTTCGATAGAACAAGATCCATGACAGCACATTACAAGGACTGAGAGGAAAGGAAGAGAAAGCACTTTCTCAGAAAATGACATGTTAATTTAGTAGCAGGCACTCCAGGAAATAATTAAACATGGCAAGCATTTGTGTAATGAGTGGCTGTGTCAAAATGGATGACAAAACCACTCACTGGTATTATAGGGTCTCTTAGGTATATCACTTCTCTGTCTCTTATTAATCCAAGTATCTCATTGTACAAGTGTGAACTCACCGTCCCCTGGGTGTGGTGTCGGGAAAGGAGTGCACGGCAGCAACCAGGTTATGGTGATGCAAAGAGACATGGCAAAGGGACTCGCACAATTCTGGTAGCTGCCAAAAGAAAAGGTACATCTCTTACCAAGGGTTACACGCTGAACCTGTGAAAATAATGACGGATACAGTGTTTGTGATGCTCAAATATTGTTCCTTTTTATTCTGAGGCCTAACACCCTAAAGAAGTCAGATTCTGTCAGATCTTGGAAGCAAAGCAAGGCCAGCCCTAGTTAGTATTTGGAGAACGCCAATGAATTCCCAGTGCTGTAGTGGACATTTCAGAGGAAGGAACTGGCAAAAACACCTCTTGTTTAAGAAAGCCCTATGAAATTTATGGCGATTTGAAGAATGCTATAGTTCACCCTTCACATTTGCAGGGTTTAAGGGCACAGAATTCCTACAAAAAATGAAAAACCACAAATAAACAAATTGCTAATTTTGGCTAAAGTTATACAAAATTGCTAATTTTGTATAACTTTAGACAATACTTTGAACATGGTTTGATTTTGCAGGCAATGTCCTATTGCTAGTAGTAGTAATCTTATGAGCAATGTGTTGAAGGCTTTCATGGCCGGAATCACTGGGTTGCTGTGAATTTTCCGGGCTATATGGCCATGTTCCAGAAACATTCTCTCCTGACATTTCGCTTGAATCTATGGCAGGCATCCCCAGAGGTTGTGAGGTCTGTTGGAAACTAGGCAAGTGGGGTTTATATTTCTGTGAAATGTCCAGGGTGGGAGAAAGAACTCTGGGTTGTTGTAGGTTTTTTTCAGGCTATATGGCCATGTTCTAGAGGCATTTTTTCCTGACGTTTCGCCAGAGGCGGCCCTAGGTAATTTTCAACGGTAAGCAAACAGTATTTTGGCACCCCCCCCCCCCCAAACCAATCACTGATATATATTTTCTGTTCGTCGTGGGAGTTCTGTGTGCCATATGTGGTTCAATTCCATCATTGGTGGAGTTCAGAATGCTCTTTGATTGTAGGTGAACTATACATCCCAGTAACTACAACTCGCATATGTCAAGGTCTATTTTCCCCCAAGAGCGCTCAAGAGCGCCCCTGGGCAAAATCAACTATACTGCAAATGCTTACTTTGCGTAATGGGTTGAGCCGGCCCTGCTGTTTCACCTGCATCTATGGCAAGCATCCTCAGAGGTAGTGAGGTCTGTTGGAACTAGGAAAAAGGGTTTATATATCTGTGAAATGACCAGAGTGGGACAAAGGACTCTTGTCTGTTGGAGCTAGGTGTGAATGTTTCAACTGACCACCTTGATTAGCATTTGATGGCCTGGCAGTGCCTGGGGCAATCTTTTGTTGAGAGCTGATTAGATGTCCCTGATAGTTTTCCCTCTGTTGTTTTGCTGTTGTAATTTTAGAGCTTTTTAATACTGGTAGCCAGATTTTGTTCATTTTCATGGTTTCCTCCTTTCTGTTGAAATTGTCCACATGCTTGTGGATTTCAATGGCTTCTCTGTGTAGTCTGACATGGTGGTTGTGAGAGTGGTCCAGCATTTCTGTGTTCTCAAATAATATGCTGTGTCCAGGTTGGTTCATCAGGTGCTCTGCTATGGCTGACTTCTCTGGTTGAAGTAGTCTGCCGTGCCTTTCATGTTCCTTTATTCGTGTTTGGGCAATGCTGCGTTTGGTGGTCCCTATGTAGACTTGTCCACAGCTGCATGGTATACGGTAGTCTCCTGCTAATCACCTCCCAACAAAGGACTGCCCCAGGTAGTAACAAACCACACCTGGAAACCGTCAGGCCATCAAATGCTAACAAGGTGGCGAATTGAAACATTCACACCTAGCTCCAACAGGATCCCTCTTGTCCTTTGCTGAACGTAGCATTTGTTGGATTTTCTTGGTGGGTCTGTAGATAGTTTGTATGTTATGTTTCTTCATCAGCTTCCCTATGCGGCCAGTGGTTCCCTTGATGTATGGCAAGAACACTTTTCCTCTGGGTGGATCTTTGTTTTGACTCTCATGGCTTGTCCTTGCAGCTCTTCTGATGTCTGAGGTGGAGTCTCCATTGGCCTGTAGAGCACAGTTGAGGTGGTTCAGTTCATCTTGGAGGAGGTGGGGTTCGCAGATTCTTTTTGCACGGTCTGCCAAGGCTTTAATGGTGCTTCTTTTTTCACTTGGGTGATAGTTGGAGTTTTTATGTAGATATCTATCTGTCTGTGTGGGTTTTCTGTAAACGATGTGACCCAATTGTTGATCTGGTTTACGGATTACTAGGACATCTAGAAAAGGCAGTCTTCCTTCATTGTAAAGAACTCTGTTGGAGCTAGGTGTGAATGTTTCAATTGGCCACCTTGTTAGCATTTGATGACCTGACGGTTTCCAGGTGTGGCTGGTTACTGCCTGGGGCAATCCTTTGTTGGGAAGTGATTAGCTGGTCCTCATTGTTGCTTGTCTGGAAACCCCCTGTTTTTGAGTAGTGTTCTTTATTTACTGTTTTGATTTTAGAGTTTTGAATACAGTAAACAAAGAACAACACTAAAAAAGCAGGGAGATTTCAGACAAGAATCAATCAGGGTCAGCTAACACCTCTCAACAAAGGATTTCCCCAGGCAGGAAGCAGCCAGCCTTAGAAGCCTCAAGGGCATTAAAATAGTGTCTAGATCTAGGGAAGTAATGCTACCCCTCTATTCCACTTTGGTTAGACCACACCTGGTATATTGTGTCCAATTCTGGGCACCGCAATTCAAGAGAGACATTGACAAGCTGGAATGTGTCCAGAGGAGGGTGACTAAAATGATCAAGGGTCTGGAGAACAAGCCCTATGAGGAGCGGCTTAAGGAGCTGGGCATGTTTAGCCTGAAGAAGAGAAGGCTGAGAGGAGATATGATAGCCATGTATAAATATGTGAGAGGAAGCCACAGGGAGGAAGGAGCAAGCTTGTTTTCTGCTTCCTTGGAGACTACTACGCGGAACAATGGCTTCAAACTACAAGAGAGGAGATTCCATCTGAACATGAGGAAGAACTTCCTGACTGTAAGAGCCGTTCAGCAGTGGAACTCTCTGCCCCGGAGTGTGGTGGAGGCTCCTTATTTGGAAGCTTTCAAATGGAGGCTGGATGGCCATCTTTCAGGGGTGATCTGAATGCAATATTCCTGCTTCTTGGCAGGGGGTTGGACTGGATGGCCCATTAGGTCTCCTCCAACTCTTTGATTCTATGATTCTATGAAATGCTAACCAAGGTGGTCAATGGCAACATTCACATTTGCCTCAAACGGACAAGAGTTCCTTCTCCCACCCTGGACATTCCACAGATATATAAACCCCATTTTCCTTGTTCCAACAGACCTCACAACCTCTGAGGATGCCTGCCATAGAGGCAGGCGAAACATCAGGATAGAATGCTTCTGGAACATGGCCATACAGCCCGGAAAACTTACAGCAACCCAGTGATTCCAGCCATGAAGGCCTCCAACAATACATTGACCCAAAGACTGCTAAAGAGGTGTTTATCTAGGTCCTCCAGTGTAGTCCTATGGTCAACCTCCATCTGAAGCTGACTGCAGAGTCACAATGGAGGAGCTAGAGCTTCCTAGGGATAGCATGTAATCAAATCTGCAGAAGTCAAACCTGAAGGGCCAACTATACTGCTATATTCCCTAACCATCTATTAGCAATTATTTTCCCCTGCTTTGGACAGTGTTCAAGGCTAGAATTGGATCAAGGGCAGACAGCTGTGCCGAAGGAGTCAAAACATGGAGCCTGGCTTTGCCCAGCAGGTTGCCGTGACCCCAGCCAAGGCAGGCGAGTGGGTCCCAGCCAAAAGCACGCAAAGCCAGCAGCGCTGCCAGGCTCCGCAGGGAATTGTGGAGCCGAAAGCTGAGCCAGGCCTTCATTAAGCTTCGCAATTAATTAAGCGGCTAAATGGCTGCCTTCAAACAGAGAAGCAAGATGCAAACTGGTGACATCAAGACTCCAATACACAAAGGACAGGGATGGAGAGAGAGAGATACCGAACTAATAGGTTCCAAGAGAGGATAGTTTGCACCCTTTTGTTGCACAACGTTTTTGAAGCTGTCAAGGAATGTATCCGCACTGCGGGGATTATAGCAGTTTGACACCACCCTAATTGTTGTGGCCGAATCCTATGGAATCCTGAGATATGTAACTCTGTGAGATATTTAGGTACCCGCAACAGAATGCTCTGGTATCATGGTATCCATTTCTAAGCTAAAGAGCCATGACACCTCCAAGGACTTGTGGCCAGCATGACTGCATGGAGCACCATTACCTTCTCGCTGTGGCAATACCTATTCATCAGCTGACATTTGCATGTTTACAAACTGCTAGGTTGGCAGACGCTGGGGCTGATCTGGCCGGGGTGATCCATGCCTTGGTCACCTCTAGATTGGACTACTGTAATGCGCTCTACGTGGGGCTGCCCTTGAAAATGGTTCGGAAATTCCAACTGGTCCAACAGGCGGCGGCCAGGATGTTAACTGTTGCTCCTTACAGAGAGAGGTCAACCCTCCTGTTTAAGGAGCTCCATTGGCTGCCGTTCATCTTCCGATCCTAATTCAAGGTGCAGGTGCTTACCTACAAAGCCCTAAACGGTGTGGGACCCGCCTACCTGCATGACTGCATCTCTGTATATGATCACTCCGTTCATCTGGAGAGGCCCTGCTCACGATCCCTCCTGTGTCGCAAGTGCGTTTGGTGGGGACGAGAGACAGGGCCTTCTCTGTGGTAGCCCCCCGACTGGGACTCTCTCCCCAAGGACATCAGACAAGCCCCAACGTTGGCAGTCTTTAGGAAGAGCTTGAAGACCTGGCTGTTCCAGTGTGCCTTTCCAGAATAGGAAACTCCCAGCATCATGTCCCAAACACACTTTATTAGAGATTTAAGATTGCCTGCACATTGCACCTACCCTAAAATCCTTGCATTTACCTGTCATGTCCAGCACTTTTAATATTTATTCATTACATTTGGCCCGGCCCTAGTTTTAACTGTGTCATGATGTTATTGTTTAATGCTTTATTGTTTATTGCTTAATGTTTATTGGTTTGCTTGAGTTTTATTGTGTATTTGTTATGCTGTTGTTTTATTGAGGGCCTTGGCCTATGTAAGCCGCACCGAGTCCTTCGGGAGATGTTAGCGAGGTACAAATAAAGTTAATAAATAATAATAATAATAATAATAATAATAATAATAATAATAACAACAACAGCAGGAGCTCATCCCGCTTCCTGGATTTGAACTGCTGACCTTTTGGTCAGCAAGTTCAGCAGCTCAGCGGTATAACCTGCTGCACCATGAGGGGGAGAAAAGCGGTATATAAATGTAGTATTAAAAGTTGTTCTGAGTAGAAATCAAGGCGAGCCAAGAACAATGAGCATCACCTTGGGTTTATTAGAGAAAGGTGGATGTTTGAATCGATGCATGACTAGCATAGAAAGGGTGGCAACTCTGTTTATAAGTCCACAGGCCAGAGAAGAGGCTACCTTTCCAGGCCAGTCCTGGATGCCTTCAAGCAGGAAGAGCAGCAGCTGCTGGAGGTCCACACTGAGCTGATTGCGCAGGCTCCTGTCCAGTCCGACCCGGCAGAGCAGTGTGAGGAGGGCCAGGCGCTCTTGGTCCAAATAGCGGTGAGGATGGGATACCGCACACAATGTCAGGAACTAGGAAGGAAGGGAGAAAGCCACATTGTGTCAGGAGGATATGCTAGAATGTCCCCACAAAGGCTCCAAACTATGTCAGGACAGGAAAAAGAAAGGGTGGGGTGGCAAGGGGGCCAGCAGGGGGTTGCTTCCCCAAACCTGACCCACCTGGAAAGTCACCAAGAAGGGCTCTTCAAACACATGTCTCATTTCCACATCTGCAGGCTTCCTGGGAAGCAGCTGCTGCATAGGAACAGCCTTATGTGGAACAAAGAGCCACATGGCAGCGGCAACAGCTGCAGCCCAGGGAGAGGAGGGGCTGTGTCTAATTACACATCACTTGGATAAAATAAATGAGTCAATTGTCTAAAATATTTAAAATTAACTAGGTATTTTTAATTACAAAAATGTGAGTCAAGCACTGAAAGGGTTAAATGGTTGCAATGACTCAGCAAAAGCTGCAGTTCTATATAAGCAGGTGTGCCTGTAGCTTACTAGCCCCTCAGTCTGAGATAAACCTCAGTGGGAGAAAGGTTATTAATCTGGCTGCCAAACATTGGACAAGTTGTAGTTTCCAGGCCATCTTCAAGGGTAGCCCCACGCAGAGTGCATTGCAGTAATCCAGTCTAGAGGTAACTAGGACGTGGACCACAATGCTCAAGTCAGACTTCACGAGGTATGGTTGCAGCTGGCACACAAGTTTGAACTGTGCGAAGGCCCTCCCGGCCACTGCCGACACCTGCGCATCAATAGAGGCTTAACCACCGGCTGCTTAAGGCAGGACGGAACAACTCCGATGGTCTATTTGCTGCAGACGCTATGTGGGCAGTTGAGAATACTTTCCTGGCTGCTCGCAAAGCTGTGGAGTAAGCATTAATAGCGGCTTTAGCCCGTGCTTGATCAGATACGTCGCAAGATGCACTTTAGACCCCCTCCTCCAGCGCTTCATCACAGCCAGCTTCTCGGTGAACCAAGGAGTCGGAGTGACTCCGCGCAACGAGAGGGGATGTTCGGGAGCGATCGTGTCAATCGCCCTTGTCATCTCGCTATTATAGCGATCAACATGACAATGGAAGAATATTTTGCTCTTCCACTCTGACTGTCCCACCATCCACAATAAAAACAAGGTCCAGCGTGTGTCCCGCCTGATGTGTGGGGCCAGATATTACTTGAGTCAGCCCCATGGTTGTCATGGCAACCATGAAATCCTGAGCTGCGCCTGTCAATGTGGTCTCAGCATGGATGTTAAAGTCTCCCAAAACTAAAAGTTGTTGGGAGGCCAAGGCCAAATTTGGGACCACTTCCGCTAGCTCAGACAGGAAAACTGCTGGGTCGCAGGGTGGATGGTACACCAGCAGGATCCCCAGACTGTCTCGGGCTCCCACCTTCAGGTAGACACACCCGAACCTCGGAGATTGCGGAACGGTGCAGCTGATCAGGGCGATGGACTGCCAAAAAGATCACCGTGACCCCTCCTCCCCGAAAGTCACCAAGAAGGGCTCTTCAATGACTTGTCTCATTTCCACATCTGCAAGCTTCATGGGAAGCAGCTGCTGCTTAAGAACAGCCTCATGTAGGACAAAGAGCCACATGGCAGCAGCAACAGCTGCAGCCCAGGGAGCGGATGGGCTGTGTCTAATTACACATCACTTGGATAAAATAAATGAGTCGATCTGGTCCAAAATGCCAGCTTGCAGACAAACAGATGCCCAGGGTCCATACTAAGTCCTAGAATCACAGAATTATAGACTTATAGTTGGAAGAGACCACAAGGGCTATCCAGTCCAACCCCATTCTGCCATGCGGAAAGACAGAATCAAAACTCTCCTGACAGATCGCCATCCAGCCTCTGCTTAGAAACTTCCACCAGACTCCAAGGCAGCACATTCCACTGCCAAACAGCCCTTATTGTCAGGAAGGTCTTAGTGAAATCTCTTTTCCTGCAAATGGAATCCCTCTCTCTGTGTCCTAGCAGCAAAATCCTTTCACAAACTTACCCAAAAAGTGGCAATTTTGGTAACTCCCTCCCAAAACAAGATTTTTTTCCAAGCTGTGATTAGAGCAGAATTGAGGAAACGTGCCTGCTAGAGGAATTGGACTACAACTCACACCATTGCCACTGCTCTACCTGAACAAAAGATCCAAGGAGTTGTTGTCTTTAACAAAAGGTAACGTTTCCAAATTCTGGTTCTTAGTCACGTTCCAAAAACAATAGCCAACTATGCACTAAGGACAGCAAAGCATAATCAAATTAGCCTTTCGTTTAATTGAAAGCGTGCTGGGGACATGAATAATAGCATAGCAGCCCTATGGATGTACTGGCCAAGCAGAGTGCAGATCCCTGCTTCTCTCAGTCCTTTGCCAAGTTGTTCCTTGAGCCAGTCGCCTGCCCCAAATCCTGGCCCCAGGCCCTGTCTGTCCAAGGCTGTTCCTTGCCTCTTTGACCCAATGTCCTTGGCCCCAGTCCTGAGTTTGGGGCTTCATCCGAATGTGCCTCCAGTCTGAACTCTACATACTGCAAGTCCTTGCTGCTTGCTTGCATTGCACGCTAAAGACTGGGACCAGCTCTATGACGCAGACTTTCGGGTATTATTTGAACTCAACCATTGTCTACTTTCACACCATGTACACAACAAAGGGAGACAGCTGATTCTTCAATCCAGACCCAGCCCATTTTGCTCTTTGTTTCAGAAACTATCTGATGCTGAAGACCAGCAATCTTTTTCTTTCCTTCCTCAGTTGAATACATGCCTTTGTACGGACCTACTTAGGCAATTCCTCATAGCCAGAGGAAGATGGTCCTCCAAGTGTAGTGCCTTGACGGTGGATATGTAGGTGGCTGTGGAGATCTATTCTTGATGTGCATGTTCTTCCGCAGTGAGGGCATCGCTTTCCAGGTGGAAGGCAGTCTTGGTCGGGGTTGGCTTGACGCGCCTTCCGCTTGGCACGTTTCTCTCTTGCACCCTCCATTTATGCCTCTTCAAATTCCACAGCACTGCTGGTCACAGCTGGCCTCCAGTTAGATAGAGCACTCAAGGTCCTGGGCTTCCCAGTTCCTGGTATGTATGCCACAGTTTTTAAGGTTAACTTTAAGCCCATCTTTAAATATCTCTTCCTGTCCATCAACACTACATTTTCTGTTCTTTATTTGGGAGTAGAGTAACTGCTTTGGGAGGTGGTATCTTTGGGCATTTGGACAATGTGGCATTCAGTCCAGTGAAGTTGATGGTGGAGGAACATGGCTTCAACATAGCCCCTTCCATAGAAATCTTCAAAAAGAACCTTAAAACCTGGTTCTTCCGCTGCACCTTTGATGAGTAGGTATATAATCCCACATGAATTCTCTGCCTCAAAGTTCTGTCATTGGAGTGTACGTCCCCCCTCATGGGGAAGCTTGCTTCCACAACTCCCGCTAAAATGAGCCCTCCTCCGTAAATTACCTGTTTCCCTCTTTTATCTTGCCCGAATTTTTAATTAGTTTTAATCAGTTTGTCCTTTTAATTACTCCATGTTGCCCGCCCATTATTATTTGCCTGTGCATATTCTTTATTTTTCATATTGTTACGTATTCATGCATTTTATGTAACTATGATGTTATTGTCTGTTGTTCGCGTTTTTTATTTTTCTTTATTGTAATTGTCATTTGGGCTTGGCCTCATGTAAGTCACTCCGAGTCCCCATTGGGGAGATGGTGGTGGGGTAACAAATAAAGTTTATTATTATATATTATTATTCAATGCTGGTGGTCTTTGCTTCTTCCAGCACGCTGACATTTGTCCGCCTGTCTTCCCAAGAGATTAGCAGAATTTTTCAGAGGCAATGCTGATGGAATCGTTCCAGGAGTTGAGTGTGAAGTCCACTTTTTGCAAGAGTGTAACAGGGTTGGGAGGACACTAGCTTTATAAACAAGCCCCTTGGTATCTCTACAGATGTCCCAATCCTCAAACACACTCTGCTTCATTCGAAAGAATGTTGCACTCGCAGAGCTCAGGTGGCGTTCTATTTCAGTGTCAATGTTGGCTTTTGTGGAAAGGTGGCTGCCAAGGGAGTGAAAACAGTCAACATTTTCTAACGTTACACCATTAAGCTGCATCTCTGGCATTGCAGAGGGATTGGTTGGTGCCTTCTGCTGGAAGAGCATTTGGTTTTCCTCAGTGTTCAATGAGAGGCCGAGCTTCTTGTATGCTTCTGCAAAAGGGTTTAGAGTGGCTTGTAGGTCTTCTTCTGAATGAATACAGACTACGTTATCATCAGCATATTGGAGTTCTATAACAGATGTTGTTGTGACCTTGGTTTTGGCTTTCAGTCTGCTGAGGTTAAATAGCTTGCCATCTGTCCAACAGATGATTTCCACTCCGGTGGGAAGTTTCCCACCAACAAGATGAAGTATAATAGAAATGAAGATGGAAAATAAGGTTGGGGCAAGAACACATCCCTGTTTGTTTGTTTGTTTGTTTATTTCGGGTACTTCTACCCCGCCCTTCTCAACCCCCTAAGGGGGACTCACGGCGGCTTCCAACCGGCATGCATTTGATGCCTACAATTCAACACAATAAAAAACATAGCAACAATAATTATAAACAGTTAAAAACATTACATTAATACAATAAAAAGCCAGCCTGGTGACCGTCATTTTGCCAAGTCCATAATTAATAAATTCATTCTGCTTATCATAGTCCGTTTCCAAAGCTTTAATCGTCATTGTCCTTGTCAATCTGCCAGATTACTCAAAGGCCTGGTCCCATATACATGTTTTTTATTTCCTTCTGAAAGAGAGGAGGGATGACAATGATCTAATTTCCCCGGGGAGTGAATTCCACAGGCGGGGGCCACCACCGAGAAGGCCTTGTCCCTCGTCCCCGCCAATCTCATCTGTGACAAGGGCAGGGCTGAGAGCAGGGCCCCTCCAGAAGACCTTAAATTCCTAGGCGGGACGTAGAAGGAGATAGATTTGGACAGGTAAGCTGGGCCGGTGCCGTATAGGGTTTAATAGGTCAAGACCAGCACTTTGAATTGTGCTCGGAACTGAATCGGCAGCCAGTGGAGCTGACATAACAGAGGGGTGGTATGCTCTCTGTATTATGCTCCAGTGAGAAGTCTAGCTACCGTTGGACTAGTTGAAGTTTCCGAACGGTCTTCAAAGGCAACCCCACGTAGAGTGCGTTGCAGTAATCTATTCGGGATGTAACAAGAGCGTGGACCACTGTGGCCACATCAGACTTCCCAAGATACGGGCGCAGCTGGCGTACAAGTTTTAATTGTGCAAAAGCTCTCCCTGCCAC